GCAGGTGTAGTGGATCCTACATCTAATCACTCCTGATGGATAAGCAAGAACACTACACAGGTGATGCCTGTCTACAGTCCAGTGACCAACACCTGAGGATACTGACAAGAGACAAGAGGCCTTCCAGCTTCCAGAATGGTGAGACCACCATTCTGTTCTTGAAAGCCCCCTACGTGGGGTATTTCTGGGTGAGCAGCCCAAGGAGATGGGTGGGGCCTGAGCGGTGCATCTTGCTGGTCCCTCCCTCTGTCCCTGACTCTTGAGCATCAGCTCATGGACATGGTGTCCACAGGGCCAGCTGGACCAGTTGTTTTCTATCCATATTCTAGGGATGCCCATCCTTAGAGCCGGAGCCCAAGAGCCAGCCTCATCCTCCTCAGCCTGCCCCTTCAACAGGGAGCTGCCTGAGGGCTGGGGCAGGGAGCAGAGGGAGACCTGGTGAGTCTTGAGTCTTTGCCAACTGCCAACCCTAGATCCCCAACCCTACTCTCTCCCCTTCCTGTATGGGGGGCAGGAAGGACCTGCCAATCTCCCAGCTCCTTCCGGCAGGGCTCTCATGGATACCAGGGCTGGGGTGAGTGCGCCCAGCGCCGTGGGTTATGGACCGGAAGGTTTCAACCTGCCAGTGGCTCCGATGGAGAAAGTTGAGGCTGTCTGCTCCCCTAAAGACTTACAGCCTCAGAAGCCCCAGGGAGCAGTTCTACTCTGCCTGAGGGGGTCACTATGCATCCAAATGGACCTGGTGTGGTGGGCTCCCAATGCCCTTGGCCGGCCAGGACCTGCCAGGAAGTAAGATGGATGTCATTCCATCTGCGATCCTGCACCCAGGACCACCAGGTAACCCCACGAAGGTCCCTAGTGCCCGCACCTCTGAGATTCATGAGCACAGCCCTTAGACGCTAAACCCTCACCTGCTTCCTCCTGGACCCATGGGGCAGCCAAGAAACCATCTGGGACGCCGGACACCTCGTTTGCACCCAGGGCCTCTTTCAATTCTGAAATGAGAGAGAACGAAGCCCTGGACAGGCCTGAGGAAGCCCAGGCACCAAAAAATGTACATGGGAGGGTGGGGTGGAAAGGGGGAACCGATGACAAGGATCTACATATAACCTCCTCCCTGGGGGATGGACAACAGAAAAGTGAGTGAAGGGAGAAGTCGGA